TGACAGAATCACACAGGTCCCGTGCCTTGTCCATAACAGTGGCATTTACAGCTTTTATTCTCTCCATCTCTCCCTGGTTCAGCACTTTCTTCTCCAAAAGTTCATCCAGCAAGCCATTTATTGTCTCTGCATTCACTGAACGGATGAACTGCTTCCTCTTTGCCCTTAGGATGTTGTCTGTTTAAGGCAAAAAGATTTTTCAAGTCAAGAAAACAACCACGTGCCCCTTTCATGTTGTAAAGAGGACATAGCCTCTTTCAGACTGAATCAGTAAAATGTCTCTTTCACACACACCCCTTATCCCTTTCTTTTTGCTATCTCTCTTCTCTGTTTCCCCTCAACATTACACAGGAGCATATGGGGGAGGCAGGAGTACCAAGTTACTGTCTTTCTGTTAGAGCTCAAGAAGTATAAACGCTCATCCTGGCTTCACATGTTCTCAAATCAGATGAACAAAACAGAGAAATAACGATAAACCATTCTCCTTCGCAGCCTACATCTCTGTGAGTCATCTGACAGTCAAGCTGTCAGACTAGGGACACATAATACTTAAGATTGCAAAATGGCGCAGGATGCAAGTAAAGCACCATTTCCTCTCAGGCCTTGGCCTTTGCTTTCTGTGGCTTTTAGAATCTGCTGTGCAAATTTCTTCCACACAGTCTTCCCTTTCCCCAGATTCAGCTCAAGTAAATATCTGCAGAAGCTGCTGATAGCTCCCAGAAAAGCCCCCTTCCAAACGACTTATTCACCAAATTAGCCCCTTTAACAGCAGGGAAAACTCACCAGCCATGGTGTTTCTCTCCTACCATCCGGAGCTACTGAAACTGAAAGTTCGTTTCCACCAGGGCGTGAATGCAGATTGAGCAATAACCCCTATTCATGTGTGGGCATGCTTCCTTCCCTAATCAGACTTACTCGTCTGAAACTCAGTTTGACAAAGAGTCAACCTTGGAAATCATCTTTCCACAATACTTGGAATCGCTCCTGGTAGGAAGCGAGTGTGTTTCAGTCATAAGCAAAGAATGAGCTGGGACAAGGCTACAAGTTTAAGGCCGAAGGGTTAGAAAGGGAAGATCTGTGGGGTCCACAGGAGATGGGAACCGGAGTGCAGGGAAGGCTGCGCAGTTGTTCCTGCTGCAGAGCTGAGGATGAGACTGGAGATTGGAGCTGGGAGAGCAGAGGGAGAAGAGAAGGTCTCTGGCCTGTGAGGTCTGTGGGTTAGCAGGATCACCAGCTGGGGGAGGGGCTGGAGTAAAGCCAGGAGTGGCTCAAGGGAAGTTGGGAGGGGCTGCTCTGCGGGATCCATGGGAAATGTAGCCTGGGAGGTGGGACTTGCAAGGGAGGCTGCAGCTGGGCTGTGCTACAGAGATAGGGATGAGACTGAGGGATTGGATTGGGGTGGGAAGAGGGCATGGGGGAGGTTTTCAGTGGGCTTTCCTGTTTCCCTGGCTTACTAGGCTGGAGTGTTCACAGGGAATGCCTGCTGGTGTTGGGGCTGGGATAAGAGGATGAGTCTTGGAAAGGGAGTTTTGGGGAGAAGATCTTTGTGATCTGTTGGGGATGAGGACAGAGGGAAAGGAGAAGGCAGCAGGTTTTCTGCTACAGGGCTGGGGATGAGACTGAGAGTGGATCTGGAGGAGGAGAGGTGTGGATCCTCAGTCAGACCACTCAGTTTCCAGGCAGGAGCTGCCCTTGGGCTAGCAGGGCATGCCTGCTGAGGTGGGGGCTGGGACAAAACACAATGAGTGGGGTCTATAAGGACACATCAAGCTGAGCTGCTTGTGTCATAAAAACACAGCTCTCATCTTACAGGTAAAGAGAGGTTTATCCTGGAGCCATTTCTAGGGCCCAGGAACACAGACTTCAGTTACCCAAATCCCAAGTTCCAACATGGAAGCAGTTTCATCAAGTTTTTCGAGTTTTAGAAAACCAAGAAAGCCATAAATCCAGGCAAGTATAAAATGCATTGGTGAGTTCAGCAGATACACTGAGATGGGCAAGGCTTTGCTATAGTGCTAAACTGTTATCTGATGACAACAATCTCAGCTCTCCGATTGGTGAAATCTCATGTTCTCCAGAGTTAATAGCTTCTCGGGGGTCTTTATTTATTATCACTGGGTTCAGATACAGAGTGGAGCAAGGAATGGCTGTTGCAGGAGGCTAAAATTAGCCCAACGTAAACTAATTAGTCTCTGAACCTACAAAACTCCAATCTTTCCACAGAGCAGAAATTCCAATTGGTCCACCAGTCTCTGTGGATACAAAATTTTCTTCCAGGCGTTTTGTGTTCACATCCAGACATAGCTTCTTTGGGGGGATTTTCCTTCATACTTGCAATTAGATGACCTTAGTTCTTGTCCTCTTGGCTTTTGTTTGCTGTAATGTACATATTTAAGGAACATAAGCTTCTTTTAAAATCTTAAAAAGAGAAAGGAATGACATTCAACTATGCTGCAAACATGACTGAAGCTTCAATGGTGATATACACACTTGTCAGTCACATTAGAAGCTACAGTGTAGTGAGGAAGAGAGAGATTCAGAAAATCCACTTCGTGGAGCACTTTTGTCATGGAAACCCAGGACAATATAGAAGCTAGATATGCAGTATCAGGTAGTACCTGCAATGTTGGTAGATTGGGGTATACACCTGAAGACAGAATAAAACAATGTGCCATAGTTTGAGTTTCCAGTTGGGGTGTTGCCCTGGCTAGTTTTTTTGTCAACTTGACAGAAGCTAGAATCATAAGAGAGGACAGAACCTTAACTGTGAAAATGTGTGCATAAGCTCAGGCTGTAGGCAAGCCTGTGGGGCCTTTTCTTAATTAGATATGGGAGGTCTCAGCCTGGTGTGGGTGGAGGCATCCCTGTGCTGGTGGTCCTGGGTTCTGTAAGCAAGCAGTCTGATCAGGCCCTGGGGAGTAAGCCAATGAGCAGCACCCCTCTGTGGCCTCTTCATGAGCTCATGCATCTAGGTTTCTGTTCTGTTTGAGTTCTTGTCCTCTAGTTTTATTCCTGATGCTGTGACAAAACAACTTGCCAAAAATCAATTGAGTAGAAAAGGGATTTATTTAGCACCTCCTCCAGTTTTCAGTCTGTTACTGAAGAAATGTCAAGAACAGAGAGTAAGCACAGGGATGCTTTCTTGCCAGCTTTCCCTTAGTACTGTACCCTCTCTTACACTGTTCTTACAATGCCAATGGCATGGCACCACCCACAGTGAACTGCATCTGCCTATATCAATGAATAAATCTGAAAGTCCTCCATAGCCAATTAGATACTAGATAATATTTCATTAAGACTTTCTTCCCAGGTAATGTATATTGGTCAAATTGACAGTCAAGATTAACCAGCACATAAGACAATAAAAAAGTTGATGTCAAAGAAAGAAAGAAAGAAGAAAGGAAGGAAGAAAGAAGTAAAGAAAGAAAGAAAGGAAGGAAGGAAGAAAGGAAGGAAGGAAGGAAGGAAGGAAGGAAGGAAGGAAGGAAGGAAGAAAAAAAGAAAGAAAGAAACACTTAAATTTTCCTGGGAGTTTATTTCTTACCTTAAGAAAGTCCCATATTTCTTGCCAGGTAGACGTCTTCTTTACAAATATAATTAATAAAGATTTGACATGCCTTGGGCCCTTTCCGAATGACAGAATCACACAGGTCCCGTGCCTTGTCCATAATAGTGTCATTTTCCAGTTTTATTCTCTCCATCTCTTCCTGGTTCAGCACTTTCTTCTCCAAAAGCTCATCCAGCAAGCCATTTATTGTCACTTCACCCACTGAACGGATGAACTGCTTCCTCTTTACCCTGAGGATGTCATCTGTTTGGAGCACAAAGATTTCTCAAGTCAGACAAACAGTCCTGGGTTATCTTCTCATCACAAACAGGGTATGCCTCCTTTCAGATTTCATCAGCAAAATTTTCTGTTCACATTCTTTAACTTTTCTCTATCCTCTTTGTGTGTCTGACCACATTTCCCCTCAACATTACTCATTAGTGAACACAGGGCAAGGGATGCTGTCTTTATTAGGACCTCTGAGGAAACCATCCTTTTCTGTCCCATGTGTATTCAGATTAATAACATTAGAAATAATGGTAACTCATTTTCTTTGAGGGCAACAGTCTCTAAAACTCATTCCATTTCATTTGTTAGACTTAGGGTATTTAAGAGCTAAGGTTTCAAAATGACAGAAGGATGCCAGTGAAGTACATTTTACATCTGGCCCTGCCTTTCCTTCCAATGGCTTTGAGAATCTTCTGTGTACGTTTCCTCCCTACTGTACTCCATTTTCCTAAATGTAGCTCATCTAAACACCTACAGAATCCAACAATAGTCTCCAGGGACCCCGGCCCCTTCCCATGTGTATTCACTATGCCAGCCCCTTCCCATGTGTGTATTCACTACCCCGGCCCCTTTCAAAATAGGACAACTCACCAGCCATGGCTTTTCTCTCCTATCATCCAGTGCACCTGGAAGTATGAACAGGGTTCTTTATACTGAGGTGTGTATGCCGATTGAGAAATAACCATTGCTCATGTATCCTTTCATGCCCCAATTAAACTCACTCTTCTGGAGTAAGTTACCCAAGGAGTCAATTACAGAAATGACTCTTTCTCAACATTTCAAATAGCTCAGGGTAGGAGAGAATTAGATCAGATGGAAAAAGAAAGGAAAGACATGGTGATTGTTCTGTGCAAAAAATTGTAGAATAGTGAACTATTTTTGTGAATGTATGACCCATGTTCTAGTAAGTTTTTACTGTCAACAAAACTTAGAATCACCTGGAAAGTCTTATTAAAGGATAATCTATATTAAATTGGAAAGGGCATGTCTGTGAGGATATTTCTTGATTTTTAACGAATGAAGAAAGACATAGTTTAGTGTTGGTAACATCATCCCTGAAGAAAAGGTTCCAGAATGGCATAAGAGAAGAGAAAGTTAGCCAATGTGACACAAACTATCCTGTATGTGTCTTTTCTCTCTGCTCTTAGTTGTGCATGTGATGTGACCAGCTTCCTCAAGCTCATGATGCTATACTGTGCTGGACTGTAACCTGGAATTGTGAGCTGAAATGAGTCCTTTCTTTTCAATATTTCTTTTTGTTGCTAACCCAGAAATGAAACTCATACAATTCATAAGAGGAAATGAGAATAAGTAATAATAAATGTTCAAGTTTAGCAATCCAACAAAGTGGACAGCCCCAGGTGCCTGGAATATATCACTGCACTGAGAGGGTATTTAGCAGAAGAACCAGCTTTTACTGTACTGATGAGTCTAAGGCAGAGTGCCAGAGTGGATCAGTAACATGATCAAGATGTCAAAGAGCACAAATTTCAAAAAGAACCCTACAAATAATAGAACTGAGTACATAGCATTTACTGTCTTGTCTCTGCAGCCGAGCCAAATAAGGAAGGGTAAGCCACAGTCCTTATGCTATTCTCACTAGTGCTGCAGACAGGAGCTTATAGCTTTCACAGACCCTAAGACCATCTGGGGAAATTTATCAGAAACCTATAGCATAGTGTGGCATTATGCAAATGTTCACTACTGTATCCTGTGAATCACTCATGGTGCCTACATAAGCTCCTGGTGGTCAGTACAGTTTGGAGATAGCAACAGCTCAGGGCCTTATGAAGAAGCCAGACGTTTTCGTACAAAAACTTGGCCAATCTTGTTCAGTCAGTTATCAGGACAGACCTGCCCAGACTTGCACAATCACAGTAAACTGTTGAGAAGCCTAATCTACCTCTTGCAGTCAACCATGTCTAGTGCCTACCCTATTGTTACCACAGGAAGCAACAGGGCCACTCTTCCCAGAACCTGGCCCAGCAAGCCTCCTGGGATATAGCCAGGTAGTGCTTCACACCCTTTCTATACCCCAAAAAAACATCCCAGGCAACATCACCCACCCACACTAATGAGTCATCAAAACATCTAGGCTTACCATTCAAAGAAGTTTTGTTTATTTAGACCCCAGGAAGCAGCTGGACCGTGTGCAGCTGGCTTGGCTTTCTGGGGCATTTGCTTTAATGTTGGAAACTGCAGGGTTCCTCCTGAGTGATTGATGCTAGCTGGCCTTTGTGAGGATCTCCTTAAGAAAACAGATGACCAACTTCTACTACCACACCAGACACAGAGAATTTGCTGAACTAAGTTTATGTCTGAAAAAGGATACTAACTATTGGATATTTGGCACTCAGTAGTTGTGCTTATTACAGTTGACATTCTGGCCTGCCCTTGGGGACCCACCCTGCAAATTCTGAAGTAAAGCCTACTTTAAGAGAAAAACCCCTCATCCCCCTTCTCAGTTTCTCTCTATTCCCATGAAGCGCCACTGGGACCCTTCATCCTATCTGTAAGATTCTCCCCTTCCCTTCTGGCCATTTTCTATGAGTGAGGACTCATCTTGTCTCAACATTGGTTTCTCGAAGACACAGTACTGGCCACCATGTGTCTCAAGCTTTCAGCTCTCCTGCCCCATTCCTATGTGATGGCATATGGCATAGCTTGTGCCCACTCACTGCATGGCTATGGCCTTTGTATGATGGTCCATTGGCTATCTTGAGCTGTTACTGGTCCTGTGGGACACTAGAGGTCAGTTTCTTAGTTTCTTGGACCTCCTACCTTCCTGTGGAAAATGCACATAATGCCTAAATGCCTAATCCTTCTCTGTCTCTGTTTCCTGGTTTTCTCCTCCTGTGGCCACCAGTGCCATGATGCAGCCAGGGGGCCCCTCTCTCCCACACTGCTGCGTTGATGCTGTTGCCAGTACCTCATCTGCCTGTTCCACCTGCCGACCCAGCACAACCATTTTCCTGCAGCTGCCTGGTGCCTTCACCCTCCTGCTTTTGCTCTCAAACTGTCTCACACTGTTCTGTCTGTTCCCTGGTTGTCTCTCTTCTCCTTCCCTCTGCCGCCCCTGACACCTCTGCAGGTGAGCCAAGCAGAGCCACGGTCCTCCCCACTCCGACAGCCATCTTCCCTCTGCTGCTGCCGCCACTACTAAGGCTCAGGGGCTGGCCACGTAAATGTGTTTCTGACTTACTTTTAAATGCTTCAGTTTATCTTTTCCTTATCTGTTCAGTTTGTCTTGGGGAAAAAACAAAACAAAACAAAACAAAACAAAAACACCCAGGTGAACACGTGGTCAGGCACCAGAGGGTGATCACATACTCAGGCAAGCACCGTCTTAGATAATGTCAAAGTGGGACAAGCCATAAGACCTCACTTCCCTCTTTACTAAGGGCAGCAAAAAGTCACTTCCTGTCAGTGGCTCAAGCATGGGCAGGGTGCCTGGCACTGAGCTGTCTGTACCAGGGGTGGGGCAGTATCAAAAAAGCTCAGCCTTGCGCCAATGCATGGCACAGATCCAATCACAGCCTGGTGTCCTTCCTCCAAGGTCACTGATTCCCTCTGCGGCTCTCAGGCATCAGTGGAGCCACATGCTAGCGATATGGCCAACTTGCCAGCTTATTTTATAGATTAAAAAAAAAAAATCAAGACTTCCTTTTCCTAAAGCCACTAGGTCTCTCAACATAAATAAATGATTTAAATGCTTCAGATTACTTTCTCCTTCTATATATTAAGATTTAAAATTTTCAGATTTTACCATTTTTAATCATTTTTAATAATTTTTAATCAATTTAAACATTAATAGAGTTCTGGTGCAGTTTCAGTCACAAACTCAAGATGTTGGATTTTCTTTGGTTGTCTTCCAAATATAAACTTATGGGTATGAGTCTACTGCTGTTTTTCAGATGTCCCACCCCTGCTCCAGATAAAGGAGTTTTCCTTGCCCATCTATTCCCGAGAGGGTATTTTTGTCTCCTCGTCTCCCTTCCCCAATTACTAAGACCATGGGACTAAAGGTTCCAAATAAGTTCGTAAATTTTAACTTTTGTCTCTGGTCTATCTGCCTCAGCAGGTTTCCACTTGGCTGGCAGACACATCCAAGCATCAATTGCTGACTACACTCTGCTCCAAAGGACGATGAGCTCTAGACTTGTTGAAGGCTGATATGATGTGGACAAGTCCAACCAAATATAATTGTTCCCTGTCTCTACAGCCAGGTCATATGACCACACACTTCCCCATTGCCTGGGTTCCCTCCTTACCTTTGACTGGCCTCTTGGTCTCCTTGGGCTCTGTTCACCTGCACACCACTTCAGCCTGAAGCAGTTACGGAAGAGAATAAATACATCGTCCTCTGCTCCCCACTCCCAGAACAGGCTAAAGGCTAAGTTAAAGGTAGACCCTCTCTGGCATAGAGGACAAATTGGTTAGCTACTGAGCTCTGGTATACCAGGAAACTGCACTCAATATTGTCAATTGATAGATTTATTAACTAAAACAATTCTGCAATAGGATAAGAACCTTGACCTTCTTTATGCAGAACAAAAGAGGTATTATTTGAGCTGAAGAAATAATTATTTCTATATAAATCATTCAGGATGGAGTTTCTGGTCCCCCGAGAGGGTCTTTTTTTCAGAGGGTCCTTTTCTCAGAGTTGGGCCATTCCTCAACTCACCTCTTTTCTCCTGTTCCCATTCAGCCCTGGGATCTTTCCCTGTCACTCTTCTTTGCCTTCTCAGGGGACAGTAAGCCCTAGCCTTATGCAAGCTGCTAAGACATTGGAGACTTAGGGAGTACTAATTGATAGTCAGCCATTCATACCTAATAGACAGACAGTCCTCAAATGTTCAGAGATCTGCAGAATATGACATTTAAAATGTTTAATTAGAAAGCTTTTCGTGATAGAGAGACATGCTGGCTCCTGGCAGCACCTTTATTTCCTCCAAAGAAGAAGGCTGGGCACAGAAGAACCTCAACTGCTGCCAGGGCCTTCTTCAAACCATGGACAGCAGGACTCAGGGAAAATATTGCCTCACTTTTACCTCGACAAGGTAGGCTGGTCCTTCCCACAAGCTCCTACTGTTGGTTTATTTGTGACGCTCTTACCCTGCAAGGAAACATCACAAAACATGACAGAATCCACTAACAAGAGTTTTATTAAGATAAAGGAAAGAGATAGATGTGCACAGGCCTAAGGAAAGACATGTGAGTGAAGTGGGTCCAGGAATCATGGCGCCAGCTTATAAAGAAAGGTTGGGCTGTGCCTGCACACACAGGCCCATGTGGCTATTCCACATATGTGTGTAGATCACATGGTTGCACTGTGTGCTTTATACAACCACGCAAAGCCATGGGGTCCTGGTCACGTGAGACGTTTTGACCTGGAAATGACTAGGCAGAAGTGACTAGGTCCCACTGGGCATGCACAACCATGCCCAACCGTGGGGGCATGTTATGAATTCATATTATCCCAGACTCTTGGTTTTTTTTTTTATTAAAGAAGAAAAAAGAAAAAAATGGCATATGAGTGGGTATGGGGCATCGTTTCTCTCAAAGACTGCTTCTGCCTGAATGGTGGATGTTGGTTGG